CATAAAAAATTTAAGAATTATTTTTCTAAAATATTGATGGAAATATATTAAAGTATCTTAAAACACTTTAAAACATTCTAAAACAATTGTGCAAATTTATTGAAATATTATAATACATTTAAAAATATTATGGAATACCTCAAAATATCATAATTTCGATTCCATCAATGTTTCGTTCCGATCTCCTTGAAAACGAAAACGTTTCGGACGTTTTGACCGTTTCGAAACGATATTTTGATCCTTAGCCATAATTTGTCTTCCCCTCACAAAAGCCCCCTAACTTTGCAATATTGTTTCACTCAAACATTCCTTAAGCCTAATAGAAAGAACTTTAACAATGATTTTGTACAAACTTGTGACCAAACTAATAAACCTAAAATCCTTCAACTTCAAGGAAATAGCTTTTTTTGGAATAAGACATATAAGCATAGCATTTGTAACTCTATTAACCACACTCTTTTGATAAAACTCCTCAAACACGCTCATCAAATCTTCATTTTTTTCATTCCAATAAACCTGATAAATGGCCATAATGAATCCATCCGAACCTAGAGCTTTTTCTCTACTACACTCAAAAATAGCTCTCCTTACTTCCTCTATCTCGAATTGTCTTTCCATCCACCCATCAACCCTTCCATCAATGGGACACTACTCAAGACTCCTTAAAATAAGTTGAGGACCACAATGATCTGATATAGTTTAACAAAAAAACTAATAATCTCCCTCTCAATATCACCCTCATCCTCAATTATCAATTCATCATCAAGCTTTAATTTATTAATAAACTTCATCATCCTATTTCCATTTGCCACCCTATGGAAGAATTTTGTATTATTATCGCCTTCTTTAACCCATTTAACCCTTGATTTTTGCCTAAAACTAATTTTCTTTTTTAAACACCGCCTTTTTAAATTTATTGTTAAGTTCTCTTCTTTCCATATACATCATTATTGTATACTCTTTCATATATATGGCGCAACTCAATTCTTACTTTCTTTGCTTCCCGAATACATCCAAATACCTTTTTATTCCGTACTTTCAATCTTTGTTTTATCACCTCAAGCTTCTTCATAAATCTAAATCCTTGCCACCCTTAGATCCCACCTTCATCCCATCAATCCCTTACCCTCTCTCTAAAGTCTCTATGTTCCACCCACATATTCTCAAACCTAAATGGACAAGAACTCCCATCTAAATTTAGAATCTGCAAGGACAATGGAACCATGATCAAAAACCACCCTAGATAATGCCTCTTGCCTGACCTCTAGGTAAAGATATATGGGGTTATGTTAATGGTATTATAGCAGCTCCAACATATCTTTAAGGCAGAAAAGTACCCAAACTCAAAATAATTGAGACATCAACAATGCTAAAATCATTACCTAAATTAACAAATTAGTTGATCCGACCAGTAGTGTACATCTGGCTAAGTTTACCACAGTCAAGAAAATTTAGGAATATTTAACTATATTATTCATTCAGTCATAGAGGCATCAACTTGAGCATGAAATTCAAGTTACACATCATTAGGAGCATACAAGAGTTCTATTTAGTTATGACTGAGTATTGGGGCTAGCTGGAACTTACTAAACCCGCTAAACTAAGTACTATTGTACTAATAAGGCATATTACATCTATAGAGAGGGGCAGGGGTTGGTTTAATTTTTCATGGCACTAAGATGACTTTAATGGGGTTCATGATTCAATACTTCGTTGTCTCCCACTTCCCTTAGCCGATGCAATGGTGAATAAGCTCTTGGCAGGTGCGTCTTATTAAGACCACATGGAAAGGATCTTCTTTTATGAAGCACAGATACTTCGTCAAAGTCGATATACCCATATCGAATACAATACCAAATACCAAACTTGTCAAATACTCGAGAATACGTATCGGATATGCATCATTTGTATCCAATAATTAATAAAATATGTAGATACTTCGCAGATACTTCTACACAGTGAGCAATATGTACAATTTTAATTTTAATCTATAATCTTTCCTTCGAGTTTTCATATAATACAAAACATTAGCAAAATTCAATTTGACTTAAAAAAAAAAAGGGAGTATTTTTTTTTAAGTATTACCTATTATAACATGTCAAAAGAACATAAAAAAATGATTTAATTACACTATTACCTCTAAAACAAATACTTGTAAGCAAACCAAGTAGTTAATTTTTGGTTCTAATTCCTTTAATCGGTCACATTCACTTTATGAATATATCATAATAAGACGATATTACACATTTTTCTACGTAAAAATTGTTAATTTTGTTTACTATTGTTAAAGAATTATTAAAAATTATAATTTTTAAGTTGTTTAATAATAGTAAAATATATAATAAGTTTTATTATAAACGTATCCCGGCTATACATGTATCCTATTTTTTAAGGTTTAGTCGTATCGTCGTATAAATATCGTATCATACCCATATTCGTATTCGTACTTCCTAGGTCTTCTTCCATTGCCCACCATACTGTTTTGGTTCTTCTCAAGATGACTTCTAATTCACAAAACAAATATTGGGGTTGAGCTTCTTCATAAGTATAGTTTTTGTCATCAGAAAGGTCATGGAATGGCTCAATGTCCTAAATTGGTAGATAAGAATACACAGGAATCAATAAATTAATTTTTTAACACCAAAGACTATCATACAACAGCATCTTCACCACCAGTGGATCAATCACTCTGATCGAACCCCAACCCAACTATGAATGTCAATCTATTATAGAAGCTTCTCTCTCTTCACCAGCTTGGTGCCTTCTCAGTCTTTCACTCAATAAGTTTGTCCACTTCAAGTCCTTCAAGTAGACCTAAAATGATCTGGGTCTTTAACTCAAGTACCACACATCACATGACTAGTGATTCTTCCTTCCTTGTATCTTTTGTCACTGCTCCTTTTGTATATGTCCTTCCAACCAATAACACTAGAATGTCTTTTAGTTGGTATTGGGACAGTTATTTCTCCCCAACTCACACTTCCACATGTCTACTATATTCTCCATCTCATTTTGTATTTAATTTCCGTGAGTCAACAATTTGATTGTGAATTTTCAGTTCATTTCTCCTCCGTTAGTTGTATAGTGCATGATCCACAGTCCAACCTGAATGCCTAGAGTTTAGTAAAGCTTCATGGTCAGAATAAAGAACAAACTTCACCCCAATGAGAGGCCTGATCAACAACACCAGTTCTTGTAATAAGTGGAATTACATACATCACACTCCACTTGGAATTGCTTTAAAGAATCTAGTAAAAAGAAAGCATGAACATCAGGAAATCTAGACTTCAATTCCAGCCCACATCTTGTCTTTATTGTCTATAGAAAGTCATTTAGAACATCCAGCATTGAAGCAACAATGGTGAAAGTGTTTATGAATCAAGGGAAAAATGAAGCTAAGCTACGAAAACTTCTCACATCAGTTAGGCTTTTGGGACCAGATGCGCTCTCACCTTCTCATCATCCATTTGCATGCCATCAGCAATTACAACATAGCCCAGAAACACAATTAGATCAATCATAGAAGTGCACTTCTTAAGGTTGATATACAGCCAGTCATCATGGAGTGTTTCAAACACATTTGTCACATGTTGTAGTTATTAAATTTTATCTTTGTTGTGGATCAAGATATCATCGAAATAGACCACAACAAACTTACCATAAACTACTTCAATAATTTGAGTCGTAAGCCACATGAATGTACTTGGAACATTAGACATTCCCAATGGCATGGCAGGCCATTGATAAAGGCAATCTTCTGTTTTTAACACTTGACTTTTCACATTAGCAACTTCATGACTTTTCGCAAAATGACCAAATATGTGTTATCACATCTTTTCCGTAAGATTGCTCGAACCAAATATGGCAGGCAGGCCAAGCAAAACCAATAACAAACAGGGGTCTGCACCACAACCCATCACATAACCCAAGTAATAAATGTTTGATTCCAAACCTTGTAAAAACCCTTGTGCTAATTCTTCCAGATTAAGCAGAACTAATGACTCCCTTATTAGTTCTCTTCATCGGAACATTGTTATGTGCTTCAATATCTCACCTTCACCCATCAAGACATCATTTTCTCTTTGGTTATGCCAAAACATGCATACTCCTACTGAAATGCATTTGCAACTGTTAAATAAATATTGTTACGGTGCTTCCTTTGGAGTTTTCTACCAAATGGCTCACTTGGTATTTCAGCATTGACAGATGTTGATTGAGCAGGCGGTCCAAATTAGCAAAGATCCACACCAAGTCTTTTGCTATTCCTTGGATCCATTCCCTTCCATTGGGGATCCTAGAAGCAATTTATTACACCTCACTCATCAACGGGGGTGAAGCATCGAGCTCTAGCAACACATTGCTGTTGAGCTTTACTTAGTTTGCATGCTACACTGTGATCTATATGTTTAGTTGTTTACATCTCTCTAACTCCTCGGTCGTGGCGTAACAATATATTTTCTCTATCTCTAGCTTCTAATCCCATGTTTCATGCTAGAACTACGCACATAGAAATTAACTTCCGTTTTTAAAGTAAGAAAGTCACTCGCAAGAATTTGGCAATTCTCCTCCACAATTCAACTTATTGATATATTAACCAAAGGTTAAATGGTGGTTGGACCTCCTCCCATCAAATTGGAGGGGGTGTGATGACCATTTGATGTCATTGAATCAGTAGCCATTGAGTTAATTGAAGTCTGTTACAAGTTTGTGACACAGTTGCATCATTTCTAGATATAATTTGTCTGCAAGTGGATGGTCAGTTAGTTGTCAACCTACTCATGCTATAAGAAAAGAGCAAGTATGCATACTGCAGTATGAAATGATAGGTGGAAAATCGCATTTTCTGCATTCTTAATTCTCCAAATTCCCTTGTTAAATTCCCAAGTTTAACATCAATGTAGCCCCATAGCCTCTATCACAATGTCAATAAAGAAGACTAAAAATACAAAATAAACATTTGCAAAATACAATATAACAACAAAAACTTCTATTAATCAAAATCATACCTTTGCAAGAACTTCCCAGAACCCGTAACCTGGCGTTCTACTTTCAAATTTCCCAAAATTTGCTCCATTTTCAAAATCCAGTTGTATTTTGCCCTTTTGAAACTCCCCATCCCCAACAAAACTCACCACATCCGCACCCCTATGCTTTCCTTTCCCACCGCCCATCCCCAAATCCATCCAAAAGACAAACCCAACAAAAAACAGATAAAACCCAACAAACCCAATAGCCTGCCAAAGGAAAATCTCAGCACTCAAATACACATAAAACAAAAAGAAAGTAGCAATCAAGTAAAACAACACGTCCCTCACGAATGCACCGGTCTCAACCGAAAAGGGTGCGGCATAAATCGCCACAAACCCAACAACGAAAGCAGAAACAAAGGTCCCAGCTGAAAGGATTGCACCAAACCCAGTTCTTGGTTGGCCTCCCCGGACAGCGGCCACCGATGCAAATACATCAGGAGCGCCATTTCCAAGAGCCAGAAGAGTCACCGCACCCATAGATGGTGATAAATTGAGGTAAGTTGAGAGTTTCGTGACCACAACAGAGAATTGATCTTGTGCTGCCTTGACCAAGATATAAAACTGTAGGAGGAGAGAGAGAACAAGAATAGGAACGGAGAGAAATGGGTTTTCTTGGAGAACGCAGAAATGGAGGGAGTAGTAGTTGAATAGGCCATTGGATGAGCAATGCTGGAGGGAGAAATTGCAGCGTTGGGAAGGTGGGTTTTGGTGGATCGAGGAGCATGAAGATGGGGTTGATGTGGTGGTGTTGGTGTCGAGGAGGGATCTGTGCGGGATTATTGGGGATGTGGAGGGATAGTTTGGGGGAGGTGGCGGGAGGAGGAGGAAGAAGAAGAGGAGGGTGGAGAGGAGCGTCACTGAGATGAAAGTGGTTCTGAAAGGTGGGAGACAGAAGAATTCCATGCCATTCCTAAAATGGTGATGTTTTGTGACTTTATTGTATGTGTGCGCGCGCGCGTGTGTGTGTGAGAGAGAGACTAATGGGAGTTTGGAACTTTTTTGTTTGGATAAATTACACCTGACATCTCTCATGTTTGTCACTCAGCCACATACGTCGTCTCACGTTTGAAATATTATAACTACACCCTTTAGTAGTAACCATTAATTGACGGAGGAGCAAACGGAGTAAATCAAAAGACTACAATGCCCTCTAAAAGAAGGGCATATAGGGTGTCATAATTACTAAAAACACCTTTTTTTATGGGTATATAAGGGGATCCAAACCTTTCCTCTCCAGGTTCTCCCTCTCTGTCATGTCTTACTGTGGAGATTAATTCAGTTCCCTTCATGTTCTACTACCTTCTAGTCTGAAGATCGTAGAACAGTTGAAGACGATGATCATGGCATGAAAGGCTATAATATGAGTGACCGGTATTTCATCGAATTAGCTTTGCTTCAAAGCAATCAAGGTTTTCTGGTGAAAAATTAGGGTTTTCTTTACAAAAAAAAAAAAACTTAGGGTTTTGTTTCCTTTTTGTTTTAGTACAGTATTGGCTTAAAGCAATGTGTATTGTTGTTGATTAGGGTTCTAGGGCTTTTGATTTGTCTATAATAAATTAGGGTTATTCTAGAAAAGATTTGGAGATTGTTATTGTTTTATATTTTAAAAATATACACAATTTAATCTCTGTGTGATTAGGACTTCATTTGATTTAACTATTTTATTTTGTCTATCATCAATAGTTTAAATTCTTGTGAAAATTAGGGATTTATATTGTTTTATTATGTACCAATGGGCATTTGGTTCAATGGTACTTCTTATATGTGAAAGTTTTACCCTCTTAAGATCAAGGATTCAAGTTCCCCTCCTTTCCCTCTCCAAAAAAATAATAATAATAATCATATTTAAAAAAAATATTGTTTTGTTATGTATTTTAATCCTAAATATAGCGTAATCTTTGTGCAATCTATCTATTGATTTTTTTTTTCATTTGTTTGAAGCTTTTGTTTTTGTTGTGTTTATATAACCAATGCTCCCATCTCTCAATGATAAAATGGGATTTACAACGTTAGGATGATTAGTTGAAAACTAACAGTTGAGCCCATGGTAAAAAGGATAGTTTAGGGGTAATTACTGCATATTATGATGACATCATCGGATACATCGACGGTTATTAATGTTAGGGATTATATGTATTACACGTGCACAAAATGCAAAGGGTTTAGATATAATATTCCAAACATGAGGGGGTCTTCACAAACACCAGGGCAGCTAAAACTCATGTCGGTGGTCCACATGGTGTCCAAGTGGCTTTGCAATCTTCTTAAGTAAATGTGACTCAAATGTTTGGTTCAACTAGGGCATCTCTGCTCCTTGGAAGTGCCGGAATTAAAGGTTTGGAGATTGCAATAACCACGAAGGTGTGCACATTTACTTTTAGAGTTAATTATAAAATGTCTCATTTAACTTTTGGCTGGCTTGCAACTCACTCCTTTAGGTTTTAATTTCTTTTTTTTTTCGGAAGGTAACATAATTTCCAACAAAGAGTGACAAAAAAGAAAGTTAAAAATTTTGTTGCCGGGACTTGAACCCGAGTCTCTCGGGTGAGAGCCGAGAGACTCTAACCACCTATGCTACAATGGAGAACTATTTAGGTTTTAATTTCAATATCCCCTTTAAGTATGAATATGTTGCAATTAACTCTAATAGTTATTTTTAGACAATAAAAATTGACATAAATTAGGCATATCAAATTCACATGATCCCCACTTTGTTGAAAATAAATAATTACACTTACACCCCATCTTCCCCTACCTCAGGTGGTTAACTCTCATTCTTTTTTCCCTTCTAGTAGAAAACCTTCCTTTCCCTATGATGAGGCGGAGGCGAAGGTTTTCATTTTTTTTTTTTTTAGCCTTGGCTTTTTTGTTTTCTTAATTTTTAGGGACAAAATTGGTATCTCAAGAAAAAAAATATTTAAAATAATGTATAAGACGAAGGGTGTAATGGTTCTTTTAGGTGTTCTGCCACTAATGTTAGTCAATTTAATCCACTTGAAACTTGGAGAGGATAAATTGCATCATTTGAAACCACATGGAGCTGATTGCAACAAGAGACATAGTTGGAGGGGACAAATTGTAATTAACCCTTCATTTATGCTTAAACTTAAGCTTTAATATGCTATACATAATTTTGAATTATGCTAAAACATTTGTTAGAGACGAGAAAAAAGGAAAGTTAGGTCTTCTAGTCATGGAGTAGCAGGGAGAATCGTTTAAGAAGGGAGTGTACTTGATGCACCTAATGTGCTAGTGGAGTCTAAATATGCAATGTTCTAGCTTTCTGTTGCACATATTTTTAGTTAGAAAAATAGCTTTTGTTGTTGGTGTTAAGTTACATTTTGTAATTAGCTAAATTCGTGGAGTCTATTGTAAATCTCAACTTTTTGCATAGTCATACTGCTATCAAGTTGAAGATCCGAATGTGTCATTGAAGAGAGGATATCAAGTGTTAATGCAATATCACTCAACCTCTGTATACACCTTCATGCTTAGGATAAAGGTAATGACCTAGACACTTAAGATAAACCCTTAGTTACTTTTAACTTAGGATGAGAATGGAATTGGAAGCAATTCATGTATAGCTTCCAGGTGATTTCAAAAGAAAATTTTTTTCTAAACAATTTTGGACCCCTCTTGAGTGACACTCTTTAGTGCTCAAAAGAACAAGTTTTTACTTGGTTTTATGCTTCAAAAACTACAAGGGACCAAGCTATGCTCACTAGCCTTGGCTAGATAAACCTCTTGATGACTTAGGAAAGTAGACGGGAAAAGGCAACAGGGGAATAACACAGAGATTGATCTATGAGCTCGCTTGAGTGGTCCTTCATGGTCGCTTTTGGACAGGATGGAAACATAATTTTCATTCTAGTGTCAACCCCCCAATGATCGTGCTCCCACCGATCAAGCGATCGTTCGCAAATCTGACTTTTTTTATTTATTAAGACTACCCTTATTCTGGACCTATAAATAGGAAGAGTTTTTTTCACAGTTAGGTTGAGCATTTTTGTGAGATTTTCAAGAGAGAAAATAGTCCTTCTACCTTGAGAGCTTCCACCACTAACCTAGATCCCTTGTAAAATCTGGAAAAATTTAAAAATTTATTAAAAAGGTCAAAACAGTAATTAGTCATTATGGTATATGCTAAAAATCTAATTTTTTTTAGAACTTGGATGACGAAAGGGACCTCACCGTTGAATTCATCACGCGAAATCTAATTATTCAGTCAATTTTTGTCGAATTTTGAGACAATCGAATTTTTCTAGTCCCACGAGGCGATCAAGCATCGCGTGACCAGAATAAACACGATCTGAATTTTTTCACAAAATCCAAAAAATAATTTAAAGTTAGTTTAATAAAAATACACTAAAATTATACATGAGACGATATTTAAATGATTCAGGATAAAAATGGATCAATCAAAAGAGGGACATGTGGCGCATTATAGACCAAGTATTTGGGGAGCATAAAAAGGGGAAAAAATCAGATTTTCTTCCCCATTTTTAGCCAAACAATTCCAGACAAGAGAGCGAGAGAGAGAGAGAGAGGATAAATCTCAAAGTTCTCCAAGTTTCCTTCTCTGAACTACAATGATTCAACCATCGGATTGCTTCAGGTCAAGAATTAAAGTCGTTATGTGTTACTAGACCTACAAAACCATACCAAAGATTGTGAGTTTCGCCAAGATCTCGAGGACGGAAAATTTGGGATAAAGCTTTAGAAGCTTGATTTGGGATCTTTGGGGTTTCTTTTACACGTATATAACTACAAGAGGTAGAGTTCCTTTCCTAACTAGGTTTATTTCTAACATAAGATTGAAATATGAAATAAGTAGGGTGTTAGAGATGGATTTTCATGGATAATGTGTTATTTGGACAAGTTATGTGTTTACATTGTGCCTTATAGGTGTTTGATAAAATACCTATGGATGATTAAATGTGTTAATTGAATGAAAAATGCTATAACATGCTTAGTGGTGTTGGGAAGTGTTATTGTATGCTTTACGATATGATTGACATTTGAGAAATTAAGAATATTTGTAAAAATTGAATATGTTCATAATATACTCATGATATGATGAACATAATATTATAAATTGCAATTGTATATTACATTTGCATATGCACATATAGTATCGCATTCGTTGGCATTCAACATGAGTGTGGGTGTGTGTGCATAGTTTTGATCAAACACCATCCTTGGTGGGTTGATACATGGACTCGGGAAGGTTGAACCTAGGTTCGACTAAGTTGCACAGGTTACATTGAGAATATGTGTTGGGTTAGCAAGAAGGGATAAATTCTCCCTCGGGTGTAAGACCCGATAATCTCAGATACGCACTCCTGTTGGTATTAAGTCTATAAAGTGTGTTGGTGTACGCAAAACTATTGGTGGAAGTCCATAGATGTTGTGTTGGTTAGGTGGTCGTTGGTAGAAGTCCATAAATACCCACCCCAAGAAAGACATAAGATTTTATAAAATGGTTATTAGATGTCCAACATCAATAGCAGGAGCTTAGAATGCCCAAATGCATCGCATGACATGACATGTGTTATGGGAACCGGTGGAGGGCTCAGTGGCATTGCATGCGTGAGTTCCATCTAATGAAATGACATAAAATAATAGCATTCAATTATGACATGTATGTATTTGATTAGATGCTTGATGTGATAAATTACATGTGGCATTTCACATGCATCTGAGTTGGGGAGTAGCCTCCTTAGGAGATACCCTATTAAGCATGACTCACCCTTTATGGAGATACATTTAATGTATTGGACAAGCTTCAAGGAACGACCCTCACTTGGGCCCGTGTTGATGACCAAGTCAGATTGTGGCTCTTAATTTACATTTTGTAATCATTTATGTAATTTATTTTGGCCTTGTATAAATTAAGTACCAACCTTGTATTTTGACAAAGGCATGTAATATGACACTCTTGGACATTATTCTTTTATAAAACAAATGAATGAAATGGGTGTTGTATGAGTTGTGTGGCTAAAAGTTGAGTTTTTGAGAAATTTGGGGATATCTGGGCTCTAGGTACCTGGCATCTAAAGAGCTCAAGATCAGTGCCTAGACTCATAGGTATCAGTACCTCGATGGAAAGTGGGCTTAAGAACCTGTACCTATGCTCACAGGTACCGGTACCCCGTAAACAATGGACCCAAGTACTGGTACCATTTGTCCGAGGTACTGGTACCTCTTTCCAAAAATTAAAACTTTAAATGAAAAATTGCCAAGACTTCACATATTGAACTCTTTTTTTGGGATGATATAAATGATTAAATTTTAAGCCTATACTTTAGGATATGGACCTTGGAATGGTCGTATGATTATTGTATGTATATGTTACATATTAGGTAGAGCTCCCATACAAATGACATTCTACCCAAATTCCATTTTGGTTATGATCTCGGTGAATGGGGTGTAACGATATGGGATTGGGTTATACGGTATTCACGGGTATTTTCGCTGGTTGAGAGGTGATCAACAGGTTGAGAAATGACGTCCGAATTTTGGGGTGTCATATCTTGGTATCAAAGCTTAGGTTCCCCCGATTACCTTGGACTTGAGGGTAGATTGGGTGAAGCCATTGCATTCATTATACATTACATGTTATGTACATTAAATACTACATGTTGTGTGATACACGATTATAATATTATATGCATGATTTAATGTGTATGAAAATGAGATAATAGGATTAGAAAACATAAACTTGGGGTTGGAAAAATGAATAATGGGAAAATTTACGGTTTTGGTGTCTACTGGTGGGTGGCATACCTCCTACCCAGTGAGGCAAGAGGAAAAAAAAATTTCCAACTTTGTAACTTTGGGATACTAAGTCAGTGGTCTATTGTTATCTTACATGTGTGTAGATAGAAAATAAAGGAAGATGACATTGCAACGGTAGAGGGGGTAGACGAAACAACCAACCACTGCTATCGACGTTTGATCAAAAGCCTTTATGGAGGCTATGGGTGCAATGACTGCTACCTTTGTACAAGCCAATGGCAACATAAGCTACGGAGGCTCGAGTAACCTCCAAAAGTTCAAAACACATAAGTCATTGACTTTTATAGGAAGGGCATATTCGATGGTGACTGACCATTGGTTCTAACAAGTAGACAAGATCTTGGAGATCATATCCAACGCCACAAAGGTAAGGCTAGCAACTTTCCAACTTAAGGGAGAGACCTGTTTATGGTGGAATTGGATAAAGGCCTCAAAGAATATATAGGGCAATGACTTGGGAAGAGTTCCATGAGCTTTTCATGGACAAGTATTTTTCATCGGCTGTTCGGCAAGTGAAATCCTGAGAATTATTGGATCTAAAGTAAGAGACTATGATGGTGATAGAATACGTGGCTAAGTTCACTGAGCTAGCCTATTTCACCAATGATTACGTGGCTATTAACTTCAAAATGAAGAGGTTTGAGGATGGCTTGAAGTTGTCCTCAGGGAAAAGATTATGAGCCACCGCCTACAAGACTTAGATTTGATGGTCGAGAATGTTATGGCCATTGAGAGGAAAGTTGAAGATGCTAAAAGAATTTGAGAGGCTGGTGTCAAGGACAAGAA